ATTGAAAGATAAACTTTGCCGGCTTAAGGATCCAATAGGGTCAGTCAGATTAGCGGAACATTGGAATTTAAACAAATGTAGAATGACGAACCCCAATAAGATCAGTATTCTGGAAGAACACTCGGTTACTGCATTAACACAACCAAACAGTGGGGTGGGATAAGTCCACTGTACTTCAGTCCAATAACATTGGGCGGAGAGAACGTAAGAGAGATTGATTATTGAATCCCTTTTCGTTCAATCTACCTACATCCAACACATGAAATAGAAATGATGCAGCACCTATACCAAAGATGTGGAACATCATAGTACCACAAGAAACAAAGAATAAGAGGTGACAGGACCATAAAATCCAGATATGGGAAGAAGTGTGATCACATTGATATGATTATGAACAATGAATAATAATGTATGCTGGTAACATGATCGAGTAAATAATACTGTATTACTGTTTTAAATCAAATAAACAAATCCAATGTGGAACTACCTCTTACTACATTGGCCAAGCTTTGCACCCATATAAGGATTATAAATCAAAAGTAATAGTAAAAATATGACAAATTCCACGGAAAAACTGCTTACAAGAGTGCTCATGGGATCCAAGGATTAATATTATTATTATTATTATTAGTCCCTTGGGTTCCTAATGGAACATAGGGCTTCAGTAGCACGTCTCCAGTGAACTGTGTTCTCTGAGATCTTTTGAACCTGGCTCCACGACAGCCCACAACCTCTCATTTCCTCCTCGTACGATCTCCTCCATGTCACCCTCACCTCGGGTACTCAACCCGTCGTTTCTAATGTGGGTTCCATTCGAGAGCTTGACACGTGATGTCCCCAGTCGGCCTTCTCAGTGTATGCCCAATCCGTCTACACTTCCTTCTAGTGCATATTTATTGAGCAATAGGTTCTTGGTTGGTTCGTTCTCAGAGCTCCTTGTTGCTTATTTTTATTATTCTGGCCATCTGATTTTCAGTAGCGAGCCAGCGTTAGTAGCTGCTGATGAATGTCCGTATTTTATTGGAAATCCCTTTCATAAAACGCCAAGTCTCTCAACCATCACGCAGAAGCACTGACTTACTTGACGTTGGTGTTGAAAATCTGGATCCGGATGTTGTCCATGCTTTGTGCTGAGTGCAGAAGTTCTCCCCACTGGTTTCAGGCTAATGAACGCCCGTCTTGCTTTTCTAATTCTGACTTTGACATCCTCGTCTGTCCCGCCACCTGTAGTTGAAACAGTGCTACCTAGATAGGTGAAGGAGGTTACTTCCTTTAAGTTTCTCCCGTTGATGGTGACTGCAGTTTGTTGTTGTTAGTGGAGTTGTTAGTGCATTCTCTTCATCACTTCTGTCTTCTCTATATTCATTTGGAGTCCCGTCTTCGCTACCTCGTCGCTTCCGCCAACTTGTTAGTTTTCGCCTGTAGCTCTTCAAGTTTGTGTGACATCAGGCACAAGTCATCGGCGAAATCCAGATCTTCTAGGTTCTTTTCCGCAGTCCAGCGTATCCCCCTCTTCTCGCAGCTCGCCACTGTTTGTGGCATGACACAGTCAACCACAACACAATCAGGAATATCATGGGGATGGTAGGCAACATTGTTTCACTCCTGTCTTCACTTCAAAAGCATCACTGAACTTCCCACTGTGAATTATTTGGCATGTGGCATCTTCATATAGTTGTTGAATGAGGCGGATAAAGGTTTGCGGTACTCCGTAGTAATGAAGCAGTTTCCAAATTACTTCTCGGTCGACGCTGTCAAAGGCCTTCTCAAAGTCGATAAAGTTGAGGTAGAGATTCAGTTGGCTGCCATTCTATACTCTGTTCTATGATGATGCGAAGCGTTGCAATTTGGTCCACACATGATTTGTACTTCCTGAATCGAGCCAGCCAGTCTGTTCTGGTCGTAGTTTTGAATCCAGCGCATACTTTAGTCTCTCCAGGATGATGCGGCTTAATATTTTGCTTGCTCATGGTGGACAGGAGAGTGATTCCGCACCAGTTCTTGGAAACATTGAGGTCTCCCTTCTTCCAGTCAATCTGCAGGTACTTTCTCTTACTCCCACACCTTCTGCAATAGTGATGTGGTGTGAGCATGTCGGCTGTTGTCTCTGCGTCTGTTTTCAGTGCTTCCGGCAGGATCCCATTTGGTCCTGCTGCTTTCCCATATTTCAGTAGCTTTATGGCGTTCAGGACTTCCACTTTTGTTGGAGAATTTATGTTCACTTGCAGTTCAGCGACTGCAGGTGGTATTTTTGGACGAAGTGCAGGTGATGGTGGTGGTGGTCGATTCAAGAGCTTCTTGAAGTGGTCAGCCCATGGTCTTCTTTATTTCTCTTCTTTCGTAATTAAATTTCCGTCACCATCTTTTATTGGCTTCGTCTGCGTTGATCTCTTCCCAGATAGTAACCTGGTTATTTGATACAATGTCGTCAGGTCTCTCCTACCAGCCTGTAGCCTGTTCTGCTTCACTTGCCAGTGTTTCGTAGAAGTGTCTTTTGTCTTTCCACCCACTCTTCTTCACTTCTTTGTCCAGTGTTTTATACATTGAACTCAGTTCCTCCTCTTGCTGTGCATCCTTGCACTGGTTTATCTTCTGCTTCACCATCCTCCTCTCCCCGCTCTATCAGCTTCCATGTGTCCATCGAGATCCATTCCTTATCTTCTTTTTTCTTCCTTCCTAATACGGCTGTGCAGGTTTCTTTCCACATCTCTTTCAAAGACTTCTAGTGTTCTTCCACACAGGTTTCTTCAGGGATGTTTCTCGATATCTCCCATTTTGTTTTGATGGCTGGCTGCCGTGAAGGTCTCCTTTGTAGTTTCATCCTTCAGTTTCCGAGTGTTGTACTTGAACTGCGGTCTATCACCAGCTTCCTTGAAGGCTTTCAACTTGATTTGGAAGGTTCCTTGCACTAGACAGTGAGTGGTGTGAACCTACATCTGCCCCTCTTCTTCACCTTGTGTCAAGTAGGCTGGCTGCATCTCCACTTTATTGAGATTGAAATAAAGTCGATTTGATTTTTAGTGTAGTGTGTCCTGGAGTCTGGTGAAATCCATGTGGCTGGCTTTGTGGATATCCTTGTGCTTGAACACACTGCCTGACTCCAATCACCAAATTGTTGAATGCACAGAATTCTGCAAACAATTCTCCATTCTCGTTCATCACCTCACCGAGCGCTTCTCGACCCATGGTTAGTTCTCTTCCTGTGTTGTCCACTCGCAGTTTCGCATTCATATCCCCACACCCATTAGAATTTTGATGTCGCCAACTGAGGTCTTGTCCAGTGTTGATTGCAGTTGTCTGTAGAATTCCTCCTCCTTCTCTTCATCTGCATTATTTGTAGGTGCACAGCGTAGCATTGTATGATTGTGACCTCCCTTCCTTCCATATGAGTTGAACCTTGCTGTCATGATCCTGGAGGAGATTGGTTCCCACTGCATGCGAGCCTTCGATGCTGTTGTGGACATCATGATAGCAACTCCATAACTCAGTGTGCTCGTGGTTGTCGTCTGGGTGACCGGAGTAGATTATTGATTCTCCAGTTGACAGTTTGGAGAGTCCACTCCCACTCTATCTACTTTCGCAAATTCCAAGCACTTCGATGGGATACCTCTTCACCTCGTTTGCAATGTGGGCTGCCTTACTGGGTTCAAACATCGTACGGACATTCCATGTCCCCACGTTTACTTTCGCTTTCATCGAGAGAAGACACATCGGCCAATTGGCTTCCTGAAGGCTTTCACCAACTGGCGTCATTTCGCCTCTCCGATTCCAGCGGGGAATAAGTTTGTTTTCATTTTTTATATTTTGTTTGTGCTTTGAAGTTTCTTTAGTGGTTAGACTTGTTTTCCGGGGTAGGGTTGCTAGGCGTATGCCCAACCTTCCCTCTTTACCTGGGCTTGGGATCGGCTAGTAACTAGTGAAGTAGTGTCTCGAAACATTTATCTGTAAAGACTTAAAGCATGCTTCACATTAACTTGAATTTTTCATGCAATTGATGGCTAAACATGTCAGTGCTTGAATTCCAACATCTCTCACCCGCCTAACTGTAAGGGGTCAAAGGTGAAGGCTTTTGTTCTTATTACACCCACTTGGTAAATCTTAAGCCGAATTGTGACTGTACTAAAAATGATTGATAAAGCTGATTTGCATTAATCCCTATCAAGAAATACCACATAGGTGAATAACAATAAGCTTTAAAGCATTACGGCTCATAGAAAAGTCCCTTTTAATTCTTAGGAACAATTCGTTTCGAAAGGTAAATAACAGCAGAGCTATTGCCTCAAGGCTGGAACACTTTATTCACTGCTACAGTAAAAGACGAAAATACAGCTCTATTATGTTATATCCACTCTTGTTTTTCCATTTCATTTTGTGTCGTATATCATTTAGCAGGAAGCTGTGAATATAAATTGCACAGTTCTTGGGACCTGTCATTAAAATACATCCAGTGTCCTGAGGAAACTGTTCTATTCTTGTGTTGCACTTACCTCACTCGTTTCTAAGGTCACAGATATTATCACTAATCTTCTTAGGTCATAACTAAACTTCTGTAGGACATGATCATTTATACGACGTAAACACATATTCCAAATTGTTTAGCCACGAAGTCTTTAATGCAGAGCGTTAGTGGCTTTTATCACTAAGCTTGGAGGTCTTATAAGAAAGTAGATCAACCTATTTTGGTTAGTACTGAACATCTGAGATTCGATAGCTACACGTCTTACCATCAAGTAATCGATATGTTTATCAATTTAAGTGTATCGTTCAACGAAGTTTAAATGAGCACGGATAGAAAATAATGTTTGCGACACTTCTAGCACTTATTTAGGAGTTTATGATTTATGCAATCAAATAATCTCTAGTTCATTAACTGGATGCTTATTAGCTAAATAACACTCAGGGTATACTGCATAGTCATATAATTTAGTAAATATATAGCGCAGATTCTGTGTATTTCAGTTCACTTGGATAACTTTAATGTAATATTTCAATTTGGATATTTATATTAAAACTCCGTTAGTACACCAACAGTCTGCTGCATAAACTTCGCTTATCTGAAATAATCATATTTTTAAAGGTTTGCTCTCCAACTCTAATCGAATAAGTTTTAGCGAATACGTTGATGTATACTTTATTTTCTGATTAATTTGAACTGATCTGTTTATCAGGCTACTAGAATAAAGTTGTTTTTTGATTTTCACTGTATCTTATTACTACTTGTAATAATTTTTCACGGAAAGTGCGGAGACTGAATATAGCGTTCAAACTTTATTCCAGTGAGTGTGATTTCTTTTTTAACTTCTTATTGAATGAAATAACGCTAGAGTAAATGAAAGTCATCCGATGATAATCGACTTCACGATCAGGTGAAACTCTACTGACCAAGTCTGTAATGTGATCAGTGAGATAATTTATAAATTACCGATGCAGTATGCTAAAGGTTTCAGATGTTGGGAGTGAATTAATAATTTGTCTGATACATTTCATTTCAAAATCTAACAGCAAAACGTTTGACTACATCTTAACAGTATAGCCATCCAGTGAACGACTCTCTGTTATTTAATTCAGCTCAGAGTGAGACACCAGTTGAATCACTTTTAAAGTTAATTACTCGTTATTTATTTTCTGTTATTTTATTATTTGTCCTCCGGGTTTCTAGTGGAATATGGGATTCAGTAAAACGTCCCAATTTCACTCTCTTCTCTGCAGTCTTTCAACCTGGCTGCACAACTGCTCATAAGCTTTCATTTGTTCCTCACACGACCTCAAACATGTCAGACTCTCACGCCCAACTCGTCGTCCCCCATTTCAGTCTCACTCGACGTCCTGGCCCGGCCTGATGCTTGATGTCCCCAAACGGTCTTCTCAGTGTATGCTTAATCCATCTTCACTTCCTTCTGCATATTTGTTGGACGATGGGTTGTTGGTTGGTTCACTACCAACCAACCAGAGTTCCTTCTTGTTTATTCTAAGAATATTCTGGCCATCTGATCTGATCTTGAGTATCAAGCGAGCTAGCGTAGGCGGCAGCTGTTTGTTGATGTATGTGTATAGTTTGTTGGAAATACCTTCCGTGACACGCCAAGTTTCTTATCCATATAGAAGCACTGACTTGAGTGAGATTTGAAAATGCGGATCTTGTTCACGCTTTATGCTCAGTGTAGTGTAATGCAGTGCGACAGATCACCATACTGATTTCAGATTAATGAAGATCTATCTTGCCTTCTTTCTGATCCTGGCTTTCACATCCTCATTTGTGCCGCCACCGCCCATAGTTTAGACGATGCTGCCTATGTAGGTGGGCAGGTAGGTGAAAGAGACAACTTCCTTCAGACTTCTCCAGTTGATGGTGATTGGTGCTTGTTGTTGATTGGGCATCTTCATCACCTCTGTCTTCTCTATGTTCGCCTGAAGGAAGTCCTATCCTCGCTGCCTTGCCTCATCTCTTCAGGCAACTTGTTGGTTTTCACTTGTTTGTGCGAAAAGACATTAGACATAAATCATCATCGGCAAAAATCCAAATTTTTACGGTCTTTTCATCTGTCAAATAGCGTATGCTCATCTTCTTGCTCCTCACAGTTTGTTGCATGATCCAGTCCAGTCCAGCTGACAAGAATCAGGAAGACCATCAGTGATAGTAGGCGGAAGCCTTGTCTTGATCGTGTCTTCACTTCAAAGGTATCACTGAGCCGTCCATATTTACTAGCTATGCTATTGTGTCAGTTTATCTGAAACAAGATATACGGAACAACCTAGTGCTAAATATTCACTTTAGTAAAAGTTGGTCAATTTATGTAACAATTCTATTCATCAGCATTAACACAGATAGTATCGGTTACAAATGATCCCTCATTCACTTTCTTCCGTATAAATGTTCAAGTACATATTCACAATACAAATATCAGCTCCAAAAAATTTATTTCAAAAGTAAAGGAATCATAGTCTACTTCGTAAAATGTTATCTTCATATTTGTACACTGAGTTATCGTTAAAGGAAATATTCTTATTTATTCATTTTATATTCCTCTTTTTTTTCTAACTAGTCCTTATTTTTCAGTTATTCCAAGAAATAAACAAAAGTTCAGAAATGCCATACATAGCACAGGGATCATTTAATTACGATAAACAATATAGAGGGAAAATATATGTGTATATGTTTTCGATGTAATACGATGGTTGTCAATGTACACTGCTGTTCTGTTCATTTCAGTTGTCCTCTGCAATTACACGCTTATTTATTTAAGTCAATATTCAAAATAATATCTGCCTATTTAGTTATTGAAATAACTTGAACGATTACTGAATAAAAGAGCTGGTAAATATACATATAGAACTGGAGAATGGCTTCTCATAACTTTATATATATATATATATATATATATATATATATATATATATAATTGTAACAATTCTGAAGTGTATTCTAAGCAAATCATAATCTTTTGAAATTACCACGAAATATACGTAGAAATGTCTTTTAAATTGTGCATTTGCTAAGGCATAACAAAATGGATTTATAGGTGAATTCATATAGCATAACCAATAAGTTACACTGTAAAATATATCATTAACGCAAGTGTATTTATTCTGAATATCATCACATATACCTTTAATCATAATGACTGTATGATATGGTGTCCAACAAATAACAAATGCTCCCATAATAAATGTGATTGTTCTTAATGCTTTACGTGCACGATTTTCACGTCGTCCACGTTCAAATATTTTACGCTTTGATTTTCTACGAATAAAAGTTTTCTTAACTTGTTCTATAATACTGACTGAGGGAATTTTTAATTTAAATGTCTGTAAGTAATACAAGAAACGTGCTCCAGTTGAAATATTCATTGAAGTTCGTTGATGAGTATATGTTTGTGAATGATAAAGACATTTTTCATCGCATACAATTGGGTTTGTATATTCTCCGTAGCTTGAACTTGATGGTAATGTATCAGAGTCATGTTGTTGTTGTTGTTGTTGTTGGTGTCGCATACAAATAATACATATTTGCTGACTCATGCAACCATCTGATTGTATTCGTCTATCTGAACCCTCATAACTTTTTACTGAGCAAGGTGCACTGACAATTCCATCACAGCACATAGGACGAGATTTCCAGATTGGAGATGAATTGTTTGCATACAGAGGTGATTGTAAGTTCGTATCAGTCTCAGTCGAATTGGAGCCATCTATATTACTGTTAGAAAACTGTGGTTTTTGATGTGTTCGATAATTTACAGCATGAATATCATGGTTGTTAAAGGTGTTATTGATATTATTTTCAGTGCCTTTCGATGATGTAGATTCAGAGCAATTTAAGGTATTCAAAGTGAGTCGTGAATGATTATTAACTTGTTTAGATTTTGATAAACCAATATTAGATGGGTGATCATTATGTTTTGTATAGTTTGAACCACGAGATACTACATTTTGGTTGTTTAATGCAGCTAATCTTTGTCTAAATTGTTCCATAACACGATTTTGATAATTCGGGTCAACTGTTTTTTCCTTACTTTCTTCACCTTTCGAATATGACTTCTCATTGTTTGACTGATTTTGCTTTGTTACCTTTACACTTACTTCTTCTGTGTTAAGAAAGTCGTAACATTCAGAAATAGGTGGTTCTTGTATCTTTTGTGGTATGATCGTATGACAGTAGTTACTTCAAGTCCACTGTCTTCATCAGTTAGCACCGGCGAGCTTATCATGAGACCGGGATTTTTATTTGTCATCACAGATGTCGGGAAGAGATAACCTATTTCATTTTCCTGTTTGTCGTTGAAGGGATCTGAGATAGGTTTTGATGAATCTAGTGTTTTCGCTTTGACTGGATTAGTGAGGATGTTCTCGAGAATACTTGGTGAAATGTCACATCGAGCTTCAATTTTTGGTAGGGATACAAACGTTTTCTGATTTTGTGGTTCAGGTTTTATTTGATTAGCATTTTGCATATTGTTTTGAGCCAATGGTTTACGTCTTTCAACGGCCTTATTTATCTTTGCTGGAGTGTTGTGCTTAACTGGATTTGGTTTGCCTTCATCTGAATCGAAACCAGATGAATCGCCTAGACAGCCCATACTACTGTTGTTAGGATAATTTTGCATATTTGTGCCTTTCTGACTCATATTTTGTGTTGAATTTGTTTGGTTATTCATCTGACTTCCTTTAGTGCCTTGATTATTTTGTGTACTGCTGGCAATGAGGCCTGAAACGCGATTTCGCTTTTCATCACTGCGCCTTTGTAAATCAGCGGCAACTCGGTAAATACCAACATATAAGCCTAACATTACGCATAATGTAACCCAAAAATAACATACTGTGAATACTGTATTAAATACAGGGTCGTTTGCGAATTCAGCGTAGCATTCATAATATGGTCTAGGGCTAACATTTGTTTGAAAATAAGGCCAACCCATTATTGTTGTAAAAAAAACAGATGATGGTATAATCCATGTGACGGCGACTAGTATAAGCACTTTCCGATCAGTTCTCCAGTTTCTGTACTTAGCAGGTATATGCACAGAACAAAATCTATCAATAGTGATGATGAGAACAGTATACTGAGATGTTAAACAGGCTGTGTAGTCTAAGCTTAACCATAAATCACAAGAAAGTCTTCCCAATGGCCATCTTCCAAGCAAGAGGTACAAAGTATAGAAATTCATTGAGAATAAACCAATTAGCACATCTGTTACAGCTAAAGAGGCTAAAAAGTAATTAGATGCTGTTCTCAACGCTCTTTCCACAAAAAATGACATGAGGACCAGAATATTGCCAACAATTGTAATAAAACTAACTATTGCTGTTAATATGGCTAATATAACAGAGGTTGGACCTGAGTAAACGACATTAGATGCAGTGAAATTTAGTTCATCAGATTCATTATTTCTGAAAACTGGAAATCTTATGTCCAAGTCAGTAGTGGATTTATTTATTTTCAAATACGCTGCTTGTCTTGATTCTTTGTTATTTGTGCTTTGCTTCATATTTCCATTCAACGTTGAAGACTGTTCTAAAGAATTGGATAATTTCTGTATACTGTAGACTGATTTACTTGAAGTTGCATCATTCGTCAATGATGTAAAGTGTGCCCTTTGATTTTCAGACCACTGAATATAATCCGGAGAAATATCAATAGATGGTTTAAGTTGAGATATTTTTACACTATCACTTAGAAATTGTAATATATTTTCAGACTTAACATCATGTAATTTGTAATGAAACCACATAATACAAAATAGAATATTTTGTAGGCAATGTAACAAACTTCTCATCCTCATAAACTTGATACAGTGTCTAACTTTGATAAGTTGGTTACCTTATTTTGTTTTCGATACTGTTGTAAAAGAGTCATTGAATTACTAAAAGAAACAGAAAAAGAAAGAGAGAAAGAAACTAGACTTATTAAAATTTTCCATTTGTGAGTCTTTAACACATTTAAAAGTAATGCATAACATTTATTTGACAAATGCAAAATCACATAAACGTTATGAAGATGAAGTAGTGTTCTGTTATCGCCACACTTTGATGTATATCCATTCAATATTCGGACTGATGAACACAAAATTCAGCATGAATCTATCAGTAGATAATGAGAAACGTTTACTATTTGAAGCTGATATATCATGGCTTCGGAACTGTGATAATGAAGTTCTGATTTCTAGTTCATGCTGGAGTCGAATATGATTTCGGGGGAATGTACCTCCTGGACATGGCTACAAATAATCTTTTTCAGAAAAAGTATTTTAAACTATTAAGCTTTCCTTTTCAGCATAGTGTTGTATTGTGGCTAACTTGTTTAACTGAACGATCTCACCCTGATACCATGATCAGGTTTACAGACTGCTATGTACCAGTTGAAGTATTTTCGAATAATAGACTATTTCTTGGGATACTAATACACGATAAATCTACACATAAATAATACTAGGACCCTAAAAAGATATTGTCACAGTGTAGCTTATATTAAGTAATATGAGTTAAGAAGTGAATTTGTCCCGTTATCTGCATTATTATCTAACAGTATTATAGTAGTTCTTAGTAAAAAGGTACTCCAAACTATGCTTCTTTCAACTGCAGTGAAGAGAAGTTGAGCGGTTTCATCAGACAACATAAATCTTTTCTCGTGTCGGAGTTTCTGTATTCGAAAATAAGAGTTTTTGGATACTAGATGCAACTGAACGACATCTAATATCTGAAAGGCTATGTGTGAGTAACTAAATTCAGATGTTTGTTGAAGTCTCTGACATTACTAAGCTTAGCTAGCCGCCTTCCTAGGGAAGAATCCTCTCATGATATATGCAGGTGAAGCGTGTCAACTATCCATACAATTTCAAGAGCCGCATTCAGTCTTCTGACTATCATCAATCACCCTGAGCCCCTCTCACTTCAATCTGTTTTGCGACTAATGAAAGCAACCTTTTCCAACGACACTGAATTCGTGAATGACTTTCCCAAACATAAAAACATTCCAAACTGCATATTTGACCATATACTGTCATAATCTAAAGTCAAATTGGATGACATGACTCACCAACTGAAATTTCAGACATTCTGACTATTTAATGTTTCTAGTACAAAAATTTCTAACTTTGAGATCCTTCTGTACTTGAAAACACAGCTTTAATTGTTTGGGTCGTCCACGTTATGAGAATTTTAAGATTTGGCTGGTTTTTAGTCCTAGGTGCAACACTAAATCCTGCGGTAAATGGAAATATCCTCCAGCTAGGTTACAGTCGGTACATAGTTGTATTTCTGTGTTGAATAGTACATAAAAGAAACTCAAAAACACCAAAAAATATTTTACTGTCTTTTCGCAGTCATAATATCATAAAAGTGAGAATAAAACAAGATGAATGGTGGGGTTTATGGAAACCCACCAAGTTCCTGAAAAAAATCATATTGGCAAGATTCTGAGGTGAATTCACTGCACAAGCAAGGAGGTAAAACGGTGAAGCATTCTCCTGGTAAGTTTGAAATCTCAGTCTGCCGATATCGTAGTGACTGCCATTTATCAGAGCACAGCTCTAGCCCTGAAGAAAAACACTAGTCAGAATAGTGAACATTGACCAATCCTTAGTAAAAATGGATCACTCAACCACCTTGTGCACATCCGTGCTGTAGTCTATGAGCCATACCTAGTGCATGAGGGTTAATGATATTACCTGGGTATTCAAACCACTGCAGGTGGAGAAGAGCCGGAAAGCGTGACCCAATGGTCAATAGTATTCTCTCTAAACCTTTGAGCCACAACCACACAAACTGATCAGCAGTCTCTTACTACCTGTTTTATTGCACTCGTCAAGGATATCCGTATTTTCCTAATTACATATCTGACCATCAGACACATTTCGCTTACAGCTCACATAAGTCTGCACCATAATAGACACAGAAAAAAACTGCAAGATATTTTATGGTAACTAGAAAATAGATGCAACCAGTTGGCAGTAATAAGTAAAATTGGTTGCATAATGTAGTAGGTATGACACTTTTTTATCTGGTCACAGATAGAAACTTAAAACTTACATCAGAATAAATTTGAGGAACTTTTTAACTTTGTGGTAACCTATGAAAATAAATCCTTGATCACCATGATCAGAGGCAGTAACTTAATATAGACTTAAGTGTTCAATAATCAGTGTTTCCAGATCCTACAACTGATGATGTGAATTTATTGATTCACTTATAATATCAATAAGTGGAATGACAACTGGAATTTATTTCAGCTAGGGTCTAGATTTCTTTCCCTTGGTCTAGATTCACTTCACATCAAGATTCGGAATTGGTATCCCTTTGCTTTGTAGCTTTTTGAAACCCTGATATTATTAATATTATTTTGATGGTGAAATTCACCTTCTTTTGATGTATTGATGAAGAGCGTGGCAGATCAAAGAGGCTTTTACGCTATGTTTAGCAGCCGTTTTTGCATATCAAGGAAGAATTGCTATGGTGTCAAAGACCCTTAAAAGGCATATTCAACACAAATTTACTGGTCTATTTATGTCTTACATTTGATTTCACTTGATCACTTGAATCCTTAGGAGCCGATCATTTACATAATCCACGGAGAGTAATGTTGGTGTATAATCATACAGTTTGTGAAACTGGATATTGGCGTAAAAATGTAGACACGAATAGGTAGTTTCATCAACGCAACAGTTGACAAATCAATAGTGTCTATCAACTAGAGAATGTTGCCTACATGATTTGGCAGCCAGTCGACTTCAACTGGTTACCAGTGATCAGAAAGCATCACACATTGATCCAAATAGGTTACAGCTGAGCTGATAATACTTATGTAATCATAAAACAGCAGATACCTTCTATTTACCTATGATATTTAACCATTTCTATTTGTCGCTAACAACCATACCCATTACTTTTTATCATCCTTTTCTTACATGTTGATTAGTTTTTACCGTACTCTGATACTCACTTCTTAGTCAAACCACTTGGTCATATTTTAATTTTAAGTGCACTTTTAACTTCCAAATTACCAAATAATGGTGGTAGACATAAGTAGCGACCACTATAGAGAATGCTAATTACTGTATTTTAGTTCGACTAAACCAGTGTGTATATGGTGAAAAACAGAAGCGTCATAATAAAACAGACAAGATTTCCCTTGTAAGTTATTTAACGCTCACAATTCCTGGAGTTGACTGAATCAAGCGTAGGTTGAAGACAAACAAACAGGATTCTACAAAGATTTATTTCAGATAGGTAAATTGCTGAGTAACGGTTCAGTAGCTGATTACACCTCCAGAGATGTATTGAGATTACTCATTATGAAATCTCTTACTCCTTTAGATTTCAATCGTTTAGGCTTCAATGCTGTTTGAAAACAATTGTAGCAATCCAGTGTTGTCAATATCACTAAAAACTTACAGCTATCTACACAAATGAACCTTAAATAATCATCCAGTCTCTCTGAAGATTGATGCATTTTATTTAATTTTCGCCTTACTTATCTGTCACTACTGGTTGTCACTAACAACTTTGTTAGTCAGACTCAGTTAACGACGCCTACTGTTTTTCACTGTGATTTAGGCCACCTGGTATGAGTTTTATGGAACCATTCAGGTGTCTACTTGCTTCAATAATCTTCAAACATTTATATATGAGGTTGATTATTGTGCCAAATTTCATCAGGATAAGAAGGGTTCTCATCTTCAGATAAATGCTTAGTTCCAGGTGGCATTTTTGTAACTCATTCATATATGGACCACTAAGTATTTATTCTGATAAGTAATCGGATGCTTGAAGCAGTCACTTGCTAACATGGCTTTTCAGTCATGATTTCAAGATAAAAAGAAGAGGCAACTACAAGGAGCGTAGTTATGGTAAAGAAAAGCCATAATGGCAACGAAGTAGCTGACAGGGTGATGATCAGATCGGTTTCAAATACTTGATAAGTCTCACTTAACCAAACTTTGTGTGTTGCTTCCCTGTTGAGGCACAAAAAAGAGGCGGCGTCTCATTCTGAGAAGCCGAAGTAATACCTTATTGGAATCAGTAACATATTTACTTTGTGAGGGTGTTTGTAATTGGAAAGTTGTGAACTTTGACACCTGAAAAGGAGTGTCGTAAAACATGACAGAAATGTAGCATTTAGACGTCAATTATTCTAACCTCGCCTAAGAATTTGAAAGTGGCACGCATAGTGTACTGGTTAGCATTATTCTCTATATTGGTCAAGCAGACAGTTTCTTTAAATCCTCACCAAAGTTTATGTGAACTACAGTGTAAGAGTAGCTGTTTTCCGTCTCTTTACTGTCAAGCAGCTTCAGTATGACCAAACCTAAAAGAACAATACAAATGGATTCAGCATAACTTTCTAAGTCATTTCAAGATTCAAGTCCAGCAAATAAATAGAGGTAACGAGTGTTAACATGCATGTATATATATATATACATACATAAATGAAAAACGCATCAACAAATGTATCCAGTAGGAACACAGAAAGTATTTTACACAGTATTACCACTAATAAAATATTAAAATGCTTTTCAGTTTAGAAATGAATAGGATTATTTTATGGCAAAAATATTTATGCTTAATCAGTCATGCATAATTGCACAAGATAATTGTTATGCTTTCCATATATTATAATCATTACATAGAATTAAAGTATGTCGTAACTAATAGAATAAACGATAATCAGAACGTTTCCTGTTTTAAAGTATAGCATATATTTCCTAGGTTGAAATTACTATTTACAGGAAATAGTCTTTATTTCTGTCACTCGTTACCAATAAATAATTATAGCTATCATTGAAAAGATTAGTACTAAATTGAAAGGCTGTTTTGCATTTATTCAACTAGTTGAAGTTAATAACATTTCACCAGGAATGAATATAAG